ATAACGTTTCATTGATCTGATTCACCAGCTTTCTCGCTACCAGCACTCTCTCTCTTCACTCACTCTCTAGCTTGCTTGACCACAGCTGCTCGCTCTCTCTCACTCTTTTTCTCTCATCATCTTTAAAATGAGTCGGTTGCCTGACTCATCGTAATGTTATCATACGAGAAGAAATGTTCTCCCCTCGTTCTAGTAACGTTGTTGTACTCCCTCATGGCAGAGTTTAAAACTCTGATCAGTCTGATCCCCGTCACACCTCTGAATCCAGAACACATGCATGCTACGTAAAAGGGTCATTATACGAAAACGTGCCATTTTATGTCTCTCAAACAAAACTGTGCTATAAATGACAATAAACAATAAATACACTATAATCATTTTAGAATTTATTTTCCATAATATCTCTTGTAACATTAAAACAATGTAAAATTTTATTTATTTTGCTTTCAAAGAGTTTTAAACACCTTTTTGTATGAAGCATCATTCAAAAGCTGTAAAAATGGCCTGTCGCTCAATATGATTGTTCTACTTTTACTAGCTATTAAGGCCCAAAAAAGACAAACTATCATAAAAACATAAACTTATATATAAAGCCTCAAGTGTCCTTTCATTATTCATGAATGGGTTTTAATCTTAATATATGTAAAATGTTGTAAAAAACATCAATTTAATCGTGTCGCCAGGTAGTCGTCAACCCTGTTACTTTTAATGAAGACACCCCTTCTGAGATAATGGACTGCTCCGAAAGTTGCATCATTTCCTGGAAGTGAAATCAGCTTCCTTTTGCGAACATGCTGGTGAAAAGACAAATAAGTGTTCTCTTCTTTTCATGATTTTTCTTAGAGTTATATAATGTTTGACAGAGGTGGACGAGCTCATTGTGTCAGCCCTGTTTCCACAACAGGGCACGCTAAAAAGATACTTGTTAGAAATTTTTAATGTACATAAATAACATATAAGCCTCTAATGAATGCACACCATGTGGTCTCATGACCTTTACACATGGCTAGTAATGGCTACCAAGAACATTTTTCGTCAACGCCTTTACCATTCTAGCGTAACAGGGTTGACGTAACAGGGTTAACACAAGTATGGTTTTGCAAGTACATGAAAATATACTTTCCTTACCAATAGCATTTACATTATGGTTTTACAAGTTTCATCGCTAGCTGAGAGGGAAATTGAAAAAATTGTGCACTTGGTGACAAGTTTTAAAATTTGGCATGGTGTTAAACTTGGTGGAGAGGTACAACATGGTCCAACATGGAACCCATTACAATTTGGAGCAGATCCATGGCCCTCTCCGGTGAGGGCCATATTGAAGTTTGTGGCTATCCTAACTTAGTTTTTGAAAACCTTATACCCATACCTTACACTATGCCAAATTTCAAAAACTTGTCACCAAGTGCACAATTTTACACATACTTTTGTCAGCCCTGTTACGTCAACCCTGTTACGCTAGAATGGTAACAGGGTTGACGAAAAATGTTCTTGGTAGCCATTACTAGCCATGTGTAAAGGTCATAAAAAATTTTAACAAATATCTTTTTAGCGTGTCCTTTTGTGGAAACAGGGCTGACACAATAAGCTCGTCCCCCTCTGTCAAACATTATATAACTCATGAAAAATCATGAAAATAAGAGGACACTTATTTGTCTTTTCACCAGCATGTTCAGAAAAAGAAGCTGATTTCTCTCCCAGAAAATGATGCAACTTTCGGAGCAGGTCAAACATGTTCAATGGATCAAATTCATTGTGACTGTCCTTTCAATATCCTACATGTTTTGAAAAATGCTAAAACCTCTCAATAAATATGTCTCCAAAATATTCTTTGATGAATCATGTTGAATTAAAGGTTTATGAATGTCCCATTATCTTCATTAGACCCAAAGCTGCAACTTAAACTATCAGTATGGTAACTGTTGTCAACCCTGTTACTGAGGTGTCAGCCCTGTTACTTGTATAACTGGGTGTGAATGCTGGAATGGGTGTGTATTGCGTGAGCTAGAGTGAGTGATATCATCACTAGAGTGAAGAGCAGCTGTAAACTCATCAAGAAATTTTCTCTTCAACTCGCTCATACGGCCACAGTTTTCACTGTATATACACAATTTATACAGCTAACGGCTAACAGCTTACGGTTAGCCCAGCTAATCTACGATAACCATGTTATTAATTACAAACAAAACGTGCACACAGAAATAGTAACGTTTGTTCGATCATTGTGTTTATAGACTTTACAAACATCAGATTAGTCTAAACGGTGATACAGTGACG